GAACTGTAGGCAAGTGTTGAGGATGCAAATGTCATCAGAACTTCCTCAGTTTCAAAAAAAGTTCCAACTATTTTGCACAATCCTCCAAAAAGTGTACGGTTCGAGAAGCAGGATCGTGCTTTAATAGTAAGGGAGAAGTGCGGTTTGACCGGGTGAAATGCGTAACAAACTTTCCCTAAGTAATCGTCATCAGTAGGTCCCCCTGAACGACTTCCTAAAAGTTAAAAATGGTCCGACCGCGGAACACCCCTCAAAGTACTTAAGTTGAAAATGGCGGACGTAATAAGGAGGTCCGGGAAATCGGTATTTTAAAATGCTCATTCTGCCTCATGTGAGGTATCATACACCATGTAATTTTGGTCGTAGATTTCATAAATGAACTCCACAAGGCCCCCCAGTCAAAGGGGGCGCTCCAAATCAAAGATGGCGGCCAAATGTGAAAGGCAGGAGGTTGCATTTTTTAAATTCCGAGGTGAGTTTTTCTAGTTCAATATGATTTTTATCGTTTACAAAGACGTCTTCCTAGCGTAAAATTTCATCTTCTACAACTTGAGATACACTTCTCGTACGTAGTTTTTTGTACGAAATCGAGGTCTAAACCTAAATATCATAATTTCATCACAAAATTGACCTTTGGCACCATTTAAAATGGTTGAAATTGACCCAAATTTTGGCAAACATGCTTTTATACCAAACGTCATCGATTGCCGCCTGGGGAGCGGAACATTTCAGACGTTCATTTTTTTTGCCCCCTCCCCCTCTCCCGAAAATATCTTAGCTCCGCCGATGGAGACTGCCTATCCGGTGTATAAAAAATCATAGATTGAGTTGCTGTTTCTTAGAAAAAATTCTAGAGCCTGCTAATTAATCTTTAGACATGTATTTTAATTTTCAATTTAAAGTAAGTACATACTATGTGTGGCATCCCTAATTTGAGGGCTATTTTAATATTTTGATTGCCCTTAGAATGACGGTGGGGACTAGAACAGAAGTGAGGTCGTAGCATTGAATGAACCATTCTTTTTTTAGAAAACGTGAAATGCCTTCTATTTAGAGAGTATGCAATCCGCAAATATCCGGCCCTCTTAGCGCCAGTCTGACATGAATGTGGAAGCCCAGTGAGCAAGGAAATGTACGGAGCAAGTTCATTGGTTTCTGTAGAATTGTCTGTACCTATAAGCATCCAAAAGATTGTAGAATTTTTGCAGAGGATTAAAAACTATTTTATATGCACTTGACATTTTAAAAATGGGATATTTGTCTTGTGTCAGGAAAAACACCAATATGAATCAGAGTCTAAGTTTTACGTGCTTCCTTGACGTGACACTAATAAGAAACAAATATTTGATGTTGACAGAAAAGGGTGCCATTTTTCCTGAGATAGTGATACTGCTCTTTAGTGAGATAGATGTGAAACTCTTGCTGTTAGACGTCCAATTTCGCGCACTGGCCGGTCTTTCATGTTACTTCATTTTTTAAAATACAGTGTTATTTCTATTTAACCAGAAGGATTAAATTAACTTCATATAGATAATTGAAATATCGAAGAAAACGTGCTTACCGCATGCTCTCTTCAATCGCTGTCAATGAGTATCGTGAATTTAGAGAGCTCTAGATGAATTTTGGCAACACCACATTACCAGCAAAATTTGACGTTGAAGGGGGTGGGTTAAGTTATGAATCTTAGGACCCAGCAGAAGCTGCATTGGCTTTTCCGCGTTGAACAGGAACCTCATCTCGCGGTGACTGCAGCTGAAAAAAGTCCCGCACAGCGCTGCCACTTCGAAGAGAATGATTCAAATAATATACGTATTGTTAAAATTTGTCAATGCGAGTGCGGGAATGAATAGTGAGGCTCTATGAAATTGAATTACACACTAATTGAATCATTCTACCCTGCTGACCTGGTTATTCATCAGAGGCGTAGGAAGGGGGGGCCAGGGGGGCCTGGCCCCCCTAGAATTGGAAATAGTATCATCTGCCCCCCCCCCAGAAATTCTAGATGGTGCAAAAACACTTTCAACGGAAAGTCTCTGTCGCTGTAGCCCGTGAGAGGATGCCTATAGGTAAATAGAATAACCTGTTGAATGCAACAATTTCAAAGTATCTTAACCTTAAAATGCATAATACTGGATGATTTTTAGGCAGAAATTGAAGGAAGATTAGCGCCACAAGTGCCTCGAGATGCGCTCAAATAGAGTTACAATTTCAAAAATTTTCCGGGGGAGCCCCCCCCCCCCAGCAAAATGACCTGGCTACGCCTATGTTATTCATTATCTTCTTCTTTTCGCTTAAGCAGGGATTGCAGTGCGCGCATGCAGGGCATTTTTTAAGGAACGCAATTTCATCAATTAGTTTAAGAAAATCGGTTTTGTTTTCGATGAAAATCTATCTCAAGTAACCTGAATAATAGTATGTAAGTGGTTTAATTTATCTTACTTTGACCACCAAGCCATTGTGCCATGTTTAAGCCATTTATGTTTTTGACCCACAGTTTGGACTAGATTGGATCTAGAGAGGGAGAAAAGTTTTCTCTCTCGTGAGAATAGTTTTCTCTCCCGAGAGAATAGTTGTCCCTCCGGATAGAATAGTGATCTCTCCGGAAAGAAAAGTTGAATCTCAGGAGAGAATACTTTTTTTCCGTGAAGGTTTCTTCTCTTTCCTTGTCTCTCATACAGCCTTGCCTAACAATTGCTTAGAGAAGGTTCACTTGCAGGGAACATTCACTCAGACGGAATGTACACCTTCATGTGGGGCATTCGTTTCACTTTCAAGACGGTTCCCCCTGCTTTACTTTTTTTTTTTTTTGTGGATATAATACAATCTCGTTATAAGCTTAAAACTATTCCAAATTAAACGTAGATTTCACCAATTTAAAATTTCATGCACTTATAAAAAAAATACCCACGATTTTATCTCGACCGAGAAAATGGAATAAAATTGTCTACCATAAATTCCATGAAATCGTCCAACTCTGCTTTTGAGTAAGATATTTTCTGGGAAAGTTCAAAAGAACCAAGTAAACTTTATGCGGTTGAAACATTTGAAAATTCTTCACGTATTTAAGAACACCCAGCATGAAAAGCGCATTCCAAAAATTGCATGTGCATTTTTTTGTTTGTTTGTTTTTTTTTTTTTAACCCAAAAATTTGATTTTAGCCTAAGGAATGTAATAAATTTCCGGGGAATATATTCCTTTGAATTTGCCATATTTTTACTTCAGCTATTTTATGACAGAAGCCGGCAACGGTCCATTGGTGGCAATAGATAAAGTGGAGTAACGAATCCGACTGCCGTATCCTCACGCGCGTAATTTTGATTTCATTGAGTGTTAACAGGATTTGCTTGCCGGAGCGGCGCGTGTTGTGCATGAGTTTTTTCTTTTGCGGGCTGCGTTGGCGGGGGAGGGTCGCGGGGTGTACGGCAGGGGAGGGAGAAGTTAGGGGCGGGGGAGGAATCGATGTCGAATGAAGCGGTTCAATACACGACTCATCGGTTTGGAAAAACTGGGAGCTGTGAAAAAAGCATTCAGTAGCTCTTCACCCGACTCCTCCCGCGGAGTCAGGACTGAGAAGCGCTGATGCCGCTTTCAATGTTGTAAACCAATTTTTGGCGAACCAGTATCAATCATACAGTTTCTGAGCTGAATTCGGCTTACACCTCCTTTCCAAACAAAACAACTGACAGGTGATGGGGGCCGAATCCGGATAAACACTGTCATTTGCTTAGTTTTGGTCGACGATTGCAATAATTCGATTTCAAATTCAGGTGCCTCTTTACGCACAATCTGGGACTCAGGTCTCCTAAAGTGACGATAATTGGACGTACTTCTACCGATCAGAGCTGTAAGCGGGTAGGAAATATGGAGTGCGCTCGTTGGTTGAGGGCCGTAAGGATTCATGGGAATTGTAAAGCGCCAGTGACGTCAGCGGAGATGACGATCCCATTCATCCTCCACATTAACTCATGAGCCCTGTCGACGAAGCTCTTGTCCCATGCCCACGGCTCATGCGTCCTGCATACAGTTGGCACATAGTTTCGTTTGGTGAATTTAAAATCCCCCTTTTCAAATCATTCAATAGGTATCAAACCCATTTTACATCGTTTCTTATCCAGCTTACCTCAAGCACACCACAACTTTCTCATGCAACCGCACATAGTTCTGTTTGTTAGAAATACGTCCAATTCTTAAGTTCCTCTGTTAGGTTTTTATAAACTCATGTGAAAATCTCAAAATTTGATCTATGATGTGTCCCAAATACATCGTTTACCTTCAAAAATCGTCGGGCCAAAGATCTTCGAAAGATCAAGGCCTGTAGTTTCTACAGAGAAGAGCTTCTTACCTAGGGAGAAATCGGGAGATATGATCCCAACTGCAGCCAATTGGATGAATCAAAACATCTCTCGAAGATAATTGGCGTCGAACTCCAGCAAGCAATTATTGCAGCTTTGAAGCCGCTCTCGTTGCCTACACAGGTTATTGAAGGCAATCTTTTCTGAATGAGTGCGAAAAGCTCGCAGTGGAGAGAAAAATGATCGATTGCAACCTATAAAAGCATAAATCCAAGCTGAGTCTCACCGCTAATGAATAGAACTAAGCAACCGGACTACTTATTGAAATACTTACTTACTTAACAAAATTACCGAGGTAGTCCACCGTGCTAAGGAAGAATGACGTATGTATGTTCAAGAGTTGCCAAATTTCATCGGATAAAAATATATCTTAGGGGAGAGTTTTGTATATTTTTTCTTGAAATTTTCAGATATATTAGATTAAATTACGTACAAAATTTTTTGAAAAATTTAGACATAAATATTCACATTTTTTCCAATTTCCAGTTTTTTATCGAAGGAAATATGGCAACGCCTGACTAATCAAACGGCGTTCACGAAAGTAGTGCCTGGTGCTGGTTTCACGAAACTTTCGGATTATCCCATATGATTAGACCACAAGTCTGAATTGAGACCTTTACTAAAAACACTTGCCTCTTATGTTACAGGGCTCTGTCTGGCGGGCGGTTTGCTGATCTTTGCCTCGGTCCTGAGCGATGCCTTCTTCGGGCTCCCGCACTCGGCGGCCTTCTCCCGTCAGCTCAGCTACCTGAACGCCCAAAGCCCGCCACCCCCGACCGTGGACTACCGCTACGGCTGGTCCTTCTTCGCCGCCGGCGCCGCCTTCATCCTCACCGAGATCGCCGCTGTCTTCGCCATTTCCGCCTACCTCCGCCGCTACCGGAGCGTCGAGGAGATGGTCAGCATCATGGTGCCCGGCGCTCGCCGCAAGCTCTGCGAGATCACCTACGCTCAGAAGATACTCGAGGCCGATGTCGTCGAGAAAAAACCCACCAGCTCTCCGTTAAAAACATCCGATCTTCCTCCAGATATCTGCCCGGCGGAGAAGAGCGCCTTGCTTGAGCCCGCGGAAGCGGGCTCCACCCACGAGGGCTCCCTTAGCGGTAGCGACGCCGATTTTACGATTAAAATCAAACCGGTTGGTAAATATACGCTCAATAGCCGGTCATTCTGCAAGGCGGAGCACCTGCCGCAGTGCGGCGTCAAATGCGCGGCGAACGCGAACCGGTTCGCGGCAGCGAGTCTGCCGCGACAGCGGGCGAGTCAGCGGGCGGCGTTGGAACTAACCGATGCACACGCCCCCTGGCGAGAGGTTGAGTCTCCGAGCAGTTCAGGGTCCTCCGTGCCGGAGGAGGCGCCGCACTGCGACTGCCGCCATGCGCAGTTCCGGAGCTTGCCGCGACGCAAGGGAACGGCGGCGACGCGGAATAGCCTGCACTCGCTGGCGATCAAGTGCGAGAACCAGTTGCCCATACTGCCGGAGAGTGCTCTGGCGAGAGATTTGTGACCTAAGCTCTCCGAGGCTCTTCCAGGACGAGGGGGATTGGGTAAAAGGGGTTTGAATGGTGGAGGTGTGGAGTGGTGTGTCTGTGAGGGGGGGTTATGTGAAGGAAAGTAAAACGATGAGGAAAATGATTCCATTACTGACCTCCTGTTGACCTCCTACGAAGAGGTCTTTATAAGACGTTAGACGTAAAGGCGCACTTATGGTCTGGAAGTCCGGGTCTTGAGGAGGGAGGGGGGAGGCTTCATTTTTACGCATACTGTCGCGGCTTTTTTGTTGTTTTTTCGGCGTGAAACAAACCCTTAGGCTTCAAGGACTTAAAACAATATGATAGAGGCAAGGCAGGTTTCGGAGGCTTGAAAAAAGTAGGGAGCCCACCTAAGCCCGTCTAGATACAACGCCTCTGATCAGGTGCCAGGGAGAAAAATTGTAGATATCCCCGTCAAAATTTATGACACCTTGGCTGGATTTTTCGATCGGAAACTACGCTGAAATAACTTGCATATGCTTAAATAGGAGGTGAAATTTCAGATAAACATTGTCTCTAGACATTTTTTAATGGAGAGAGAAAAAAAAAAAAAAAAAAAAAAAAAAAAAAAAAAAAAAACTTCCTGCGTCAAGGAAGCAATTTATCACGCCAATTAAAATTTCAAGTTTGATATTTATCTTTCGCGAAACAATTTTCCTGTTTCAGGTTGAGCCATTTGATACCATCAAACATTTCACTTGCTACAAAGATCATTTTCCTCATAAAAACAGTTCATTTCTCTGTGTATTCCTTCGTCTCTTAGACGGGAGCTGCGACAATTAAAAATGATGCTGGAGCGTAAAAATGGAGTCAGTGGTCCCGGAGGGCAGAAGCGAGTTTTGTAAGATTTGAGTGGAGCAACTTTCCAGCGTGGTTTGAGGGCATCTCGGAATCAATTTTTCAATGAGACGGTTTTGTGATAAATCATCAGCACAAAGTAGCTCTTGCTCGAGGCACTGTATACCCAGCGCTTTTCAAGTAGAAAGGAGGTTCTATGCTGGCTCTCTTCGAAAATCAATATTTGCCCTTTAGTCTATGTGTTTTATTTACCCCGTCTCAGCACATATTTGACGAGACTATTGCGATATTCGGGTACATAATCAATCTAAATTCCGGATGTACCTATTTGTCGATTGAAACCAATCATATTTTGCAGAATCAATTTCTCATTTCTCAGCTCCGATTCCCTAGGGTATTTTTTGTGCTACCTGAAAGCGATAGGCACCTCTTTATTAAGCGCATTTATTGACGCGGATGCGAGAATGAGAGAGCATTTATTTAGAGGCTGAAAGGTCTTTGAGCTCTTGTAGAAAATATTCCAAGTCTCACAACTGTTATGTCCTTGTTTTTTATGTATTTTTTTCCAAAAAAAAAAAAAAAAAAAAAAAAAAAAT